GCCTGATCTGATCGGTAAACCATGTAGAAAGAACCAAATCCATATTAATCACTGAGCAGGGCTATATTAAAAGGGAAGGATGATCTTTCCCAATTTGATGTCTCGACAGTTCTCAAGCTTTGTTTTTTAAGGGACTTGATGAACATGGCGTAGTTTTGTTCTTTCTTAACCTTTTGGATTTCCACTCTTCTCGATTTGTAGAAAAAAATGCTTACAGTTATAATAGATAATTATTGTGAGCATATTTTTTTTTTTAAAAAATAAGATAATAAAGATAATTGTAAATTTGAGGTTCTCCATCCCTTTATTGTTTTATAGTATTCGTTACTTATTATTTGTCCTTAGTATTTTTTTTCTGATCTGTGTTTCAGGTATGTGGATGTGATTCTACAATTGATCGACAAGGCTGGAGATTTTGTTAGTGACGACATATGGTTCCGTGTTGTGCAGTTTGTTACAAACAATGAAGATCTGCAGGTACCTAATCATCTGCTTCCCATTTTACACTTTGTTTCCGTAATATAGTCATTGGGTTTTATATTATTGGATGGCGACTTCATGCATTTAATCAGTCTTATGCAGCAATAAAAGCGAGAGAATATCTTGATAAACCTGCTATACATGAGACGATGGTGAAGGTGTGTCGATATTTATTATTATTATTGTTTGTAATAACAATAAACCTCTCCCTAGCGACTTCAACTTAGATGTGGTTCGTTTGTCATATATGTAACAGGTCAGTGCATATCTTCTTGGAGAATTTGGTCATCTTTTGGCCCGAAGACCAGGTTATAGTGCAAAGGAGTTATTTAAAATAATACATGAAAAGCTTCCAACTGTTTCGTAAGTGCTTCTAAATTGTACTTTATAAGTCATTTTCCTTTAACAAACTATTGCTTTCTGTATTGAAATGTCCACTTTGTTTACAGAACATCTACCATTCCGATTCTTCTGTCAACATATGCTAAGATCTTAATGCACACTCAACCCCCGGATCAGGAACTGCAAAATCAGATTTGGGGAATATTTAACAAGTGAGACTTGCTTGTGCATTCTTTAAACTAACACTTTCGTTTATTTGCACTTGCAGTAAATTTAAATTTTCTAATAGAAATTTGTTTTACTCAGATACGAGAGCTGCATCGATGTTGAGATACAACAACGTGCTGTTGAATATTTAGCTCTGAGCAAGAAAGGCGTAGCTCTGGTGGATATATTGGCCGAAATGCCAAAGTTTCCTGAGAGACAAGTGCGTATTATTCCTTTGAACTGTCTGATTAGATGCACTTTTCTGTGATGGATAGTATTGATTACTCAGTAACCTTTGATCAATGAAGGTTCTTAATATTATCTCTAATTTCCATATTTCAGTCAGCTTTGATCAAGAAGGCCGAGGACACTGAAGCTGACACTGCAGAACAAAGTGCCATTAAGTTGCGAGCTCAACAACAATCATCAGTTGCCTTGGTCTTAACTGATCAACGTCCTGTTAATGGAACACCCTCTTCCAACCAGCTTACTCTGGTGAAGGTGCCAACAACCAGCAGTTATCCGGTTTGTTTCTTTCTGTCTTTTAAAAGTTTTCAGAGCATCACTATTGCACTCCTTTTATCGCTTGAACCTATTAATGGGAACTGTTTCTTGTTATGGTCTAAGCTGAAATTTTACTTTGTTTACAAACCTAATGGCAGGATTCAACTGACCAAGAATTGTCCCAGACCAATGAGACTCTAAACAAAGTAGATTCTAGCTTCCCCGCACCTGACCTCCTTGGAGATCTCTTGGGTCCACTGGCTATTGAAGGTCCTCCGAGTTTTACTGCCCCTGCTTCGCAAAATATGACGGCTGAAGTGGATGGCTTTCCAAAAGCAGTTGAGGCTGGAGCTATTGTCCCAGTTGGAGAACAGGCAAATTCAGTTCAGGTAATATTTTTCTTCAAATTGAGAAGCAAACTCAAGGAAGCCAAGTCAAAAAAGAAAATTCAATGCAATATTTATTATTAGTATTATTTGATAGGAAACTTAGGTATAATTTATCGAAGTAACAAAAAAAAGCGAAAGGGAAAGGCCTGAGAGACTATGGAAAATTCCTATCTGTAAAAGACAAGTAAATTCAATAAGTTCTATCTATGGTAGTCTGATAGGAAGCCACAAATATTTATGTTTTCATTTCTTTACGTTAAGCCATATTTTCTTCTGATATCTATTGTTTGATTCTTATCAATAGAATGTTTCGATGCTTACTGCACGTGGCAATACTATTTCTGATACTTGCAGCAGTTTAAGATATATGACTAGTCTGATGATTCTTAACAATTGGGGAACTTTTCTTTTGTAGATCTTTGGGCGGGGGTTTCCTCCACCCTCAGCCCTTAGGTTTGGTTCTTTTTGAGAATATACATCTATCTATTTCTTATTTTTTTTTTTAAAAAAGTAGATATATGTCTAGTTTGATTGCATATCAGCTACTAAGCTGTGAATTACTCGGGGTTGTGACTATTTATATTCCTATATATGTATTATATTTTTGCAGCCGATAGGGAATATATCTGAAAGGTTCCTTGCTTTGTGCATGAAAGATAGTGGTGTGCTGTACGAAGATCCCTATATTCAGGTACCTTTACCCTGTATTCTCATCGCATCTTTTTTGTTCTCTCGTTTTCCTTCTTTAGAAGAAACCCTTGGGCTGTCTGTTTAAACTTCAAAGGTTGCTTAAAGCATTATGCTTCAGATTTTTTTCTTCAAAATCAATTTTTTAATCTTAGTTTGTGAATGATTATACAATGACCTTAAACATTATATGCCACTTGATTGTAATTCTTTAAATCTTTTCTAAACTGTTTCAGAGAACTTTCAAATACATGCGGTTGGTTTATCTCAGCTTTATTTACTTCTTTTCAAGCTTGAGACTTGCTAGCTTATTGCTTTATCATTAAATTCTCTCAGATCGGCATTAAAGCGGAATGGCGAGCCCACCTGGGACGACTTGTTCTTTTCCTTGGAAACAAAAATACTTCACCCCTTGTCTCTGTCAAGGCTACCATATCGCCTCCTTCAAATTTAAAGATGGAATTGTCATTAGTACCTGAGACTATTCCTCCCCGTGCACAGGTAAAAACAAGCAGTTTAGTTTGTATTTGTTTGTGGTTATCCGGAGGCCATTACCTTTCTTCACATCAGATATTCTCTTTGATTGGATAGGTACAATGCCCACTTGAAATCATTAATCTACATCCAAGCAGAGATGTGGCTGTTCTCGATTTCTCTTACAAGTTTGGAAATGACCTGGTAAATACTTCTTGTTTTAAGTATTTTGGATTCCTCTTCTCACTGGGTGCATCAGCCAGAATAACTCATGTATATGTCGTTCTTTGTAGGTAAATGTGCAGCTTCGCCTTCCAGCTGTCTTCAATAAATTTCTCCAGCCTATATCCATATCTGCAGAGGAGTTTTTCCCTCAGTGGAGATCGCTCTCGGGGCCCCCATTAAAGCTTCAAGAAGTGGTTAGGCTTTTAGGCTTTAAATCTAAATATGAGAAAAAATTTCCAAATGTTTTACTATGAGGAAGTTTTGGAGAATCGAAACATAAAATACCAGTTTGACTCGAAGTTTTATTGTACAAATGCTATTTAGCCATGTAACTAACATTTGTGGTATCTTATTGCCATTTACCGTGCAGGTTAGAGGTGTAAAACCCCTTCTACTGTTAGAGATGGCGAATTTATTCAACAGTCTACGGTTGATGGTTTGTCCAGGACTTGTAAGTAGTCGCCCGCTTTTTGAAAGGAGTCGTGCTTTTAGATTGTACAAAATTCACCTTTTCTTTTTCCTATTTGTTGTTTAGGACCCTAATCCAAATAATCTTGTTGCAAGCACAACATTCTACTCGGAAAGTACACAAGCTATGCTCTGCCTGGTAAGGAATATTTCTCCGTTCTTATATTTGAATTGTTTAATATTTCTCTCGACGCTGTTTAATGAAACTTAACCCATGAATTTTGTACTTTCCGAGTAGAATGTAATGAGGTTCACTTATATGGGGACTAATATGAAATTAACCCAGTTCTCATGATCCGCTTTATCTGTTATTCAGGTTAGAATTGAAACTGATCCAGCAGACAGAACCCAATTGCGAATGACAGTTGCCTCAGGGGATCCAACAGTAACTTTCGAGTGCGTGCTTTAGTCTCTGCTGTTGTTCAGTTAGCTCTTAATTTGTGCGATATAGCCATATTTCTGAGATTTTGTCTACAGGTTGAAGGAGTTTATCAAGGAACAGTTGATAAGCATACCTGTGCCCCAACCGCCCACCCCGCCATCTGCAGCACCACCAGTAGGTCATCCCACGGTTACCACACCACCAGCATTCACAGATCCTGGGGCAATGCTAGCAGGTTTGCTCTAGGACAAGGCAATTCATCAGAAGATTTCATTCGGTATACATTTGTAAAACATGATTATACACCCGGCCTACCCTGATTCAGGGGGATCTTAAGGCAAATGAGCGACACCATGATGCAAGGGCTTGCGGAGTTTTAGCGTGATCGGCACAGCATTTAAGTTAATCACTGGGGTTGGTTGGAGTTTTTTTATTTTTAATTTTTTTGCCAAAAATTAAAGGTGAGATTTGTTTTATTTTCCCCTTTTTATTGCTTATTGCTGGGGGTAGAGTGGGGAGTTGGTGAGGGTTTGGTCTAGGTCTACTACCGTTTCTTCCCAATTCATGGGATGATCTCTGTAGTGTATTATTTGACGTGTAAGATTTTGCGATTGGGACTCAAACTGTATCCATCCACAGTTTCAACTCCAACACGTTGAAATTTTTTTGTTCATTCATCCGTTAATCGTTTGTATGAATCTTGTTGTACAGATTGGATTTCATGATTTTGCTTAGATGACTCGAATTGTATCCATCAAGGACGTAATGTTCATAGTCAATAATCGTACAAATCAATCTAATCTTTTCAAATATTTGTGCAAGATTTCTTGATTGATAAAGGCTGCAATTATGAGTGTAAGCTTTTGATATTACCAAGCCTTGAATCGAAAGTGGTCGGCCGTCACAATTTTTACAGACAAATTCAATCAGATAAGCGCATAAAACCGTGCTTATCTCACTAGATAAATAGCTGATTCTGGTATTCCCAAAAAATGAGTCAGGGATGAAAATTGGTTAGACGACTTAGATTTGGGAGATTTGAAAAATGTAGAGAACTAGCCATTTCTAGTAGAATTCTAAAGCTCAATGTCGAGCCCTAGTAACCGTCGTCTCCGATCGCAGAACTTCCAGGAACAGCCTGATGAGTGGAAACAGAGGCATGGGAGACTGCGTACCTGAGAATCTAACACAGTCCAGCTCAACAAGAACAGGTTCCTAAGTATGTACGTAGATTTACAAGCATGCTTCTTTGATGTTGTAGCTTGTTCAATTGGCAGCTTCTTGCCTAATGGAACCCCGGAATCAGAAGCACAAAAACACAAACCTCCGAAGATGATCAATACTGCAATTTTACTGCCACTCCCGGCATCGGCCACAAGACCACTTCTCCTCTGTAGACACCGCATCATCCCAGGGCGAACAATGACTGTGTATTTGTAGTCCACATACTTGGCAAACGAGATCGGGGACAGGCTCCAAATTTGCACAGATTTGACAGTTCACAACAGCAGGATCTAGTTGCTCACTGAAGCCTTGATTGGGAATATCACTATCTACAATTGGAAAGGAATCGTCCACATCTCCGGAGGCATCATCAGGCGCTAGTAATTCGGTAAAAGAGAAGTAGGTCTGAGGTCCAAAATCCATGTCGTCGTAATTAAAACTGTCAAAGTCGAATGCAACCCCCTCCTCGAAACCTAGACCAGAATTGTCCCATTCTGAAAATGAAGATTTCTCTACTGGCTGTAAGAGTGTATCTGTTTCATGCTGGATGGGGATGGATGATTGAGAATGCGGCAGATAATTCTCGGAAAACCCATCTTCATCATCTTCCTGTTTTGTCTGCCTTCTGACGGGTAGCTTCTGTGGTGCTGCTTGTCCACCTGCTGCTGCGTTCCAGTCATCATCTAATCCAGAATTGGGCTCTGCAATTAGCTCAACTCTTGAAAGAGAGAAAATGAAAGGATTTACTTCTTCCTTGGGCAACAAAGAACTACTTGTCTCAAGCTTCTTAGAATCAGAAATGGTCAAATCATCACATTCCACCCCTGAATTTTCTTGCTTTGATGACTTCGGACGTGTTTTCTTCCCCCCATCTTGTTTCTCGGGTTTGGGATCCATGTAAGGACATTCAGGCGATTTAATCCTACGACATCTACAACACTTGTAGCCCACCACATCAAATATTTTTGATTCCTCAAGAGCAACAGCTTCAGCATGGTACCAATCTGGAAATATCCGAAGATATACAAAGGATATGAGGCAATTTTTTTACAGAAGGCATAACAACCAAAAAAGAGTAAGAAGAAACCGGCACCAAACATAAAAAATAAAACTTACTTTTGCAAGTCTCACAGCAGATGTACATTAAATCGGACCTGTATGGCTTACTACATAAATGGCATACGGGTTCCATATGATGTAATTCTCGGCCGCCCTTTAAAAGAAGATAATTGTGCCTGAAATTAGCACCTGTATCTTCACAATTCTTCTTCTTCCATATAATACCCCAGGAACAATTCCTCCTCTTGCTCTTTGGAGCTGCACTAGATGTGGGAGTAACTTGTTTCTTCTCAGATTGATTGTCCAGCTTATTTAAAGGAGTTGCTTGTTTTTTCTCAGATCGAGGTTCCAACTTGTTTACAGTAGTAGCTGACGGCTGATTGGAGTCTTTAGGCCTTGCACCCTTACGTAAAGTTGACGAACTTCGGTGTTCTTTACCTTGCGAAGGTAATGGACTGGTTGGTGATTCGGTACTGTTTCCACTGCGATTAAGAGCTTTGAGATGGCAACACTGCTTGCATGTGATTGGACATGCAACATCCTCGGTACCAGAAATGGTTAATCTCACAGTACAGTTAACGTGACAATAGCCTGATCAAGGTTAATAAGTACATGAGCTCTAGATTTACTCGTATGGAGCCTTTCAAGCTAAAAGCTAAAACTGTTGGAGCATGTTGGAATGAACCCAAACGATAATTAAAAATTTCGGGAGAAGAATTATAGTTAGAAAACGACTAGAACCATGTAAAACCCAATTCATAGCTATCGGTATAACAAATTTAAGCTTAAGGAAGTAACTAATTCAAACTTAAAATGAACATCTAAAAGATCGATTTCAGTGACTTTTCAGCATTAGGCATGATAAATTGCATGTGAACTAAAACTTATAAAAAAGATCATCACAAAGTAGATGATACCTTGGCAAGAACTGCACTTTACCGCATTCCTGCAAATTACAGAAGAAATAAAATTTATCAACTATAAAGCAACTTGGTACAGATTCTAAGAGTAAATTCAGTATAGGTGAAGATAATTTACCTGATAAGCACTTCCATTCGACACGAAGAACATGATAACAAGCCCATGTTGTCTCTTCTACATGTGAGGTAGAAAAATATCTCTCTCTGGTAGGATTTCAACCGTCTTCTTCGAGATTGGTACATAAGGTTTTGGTATACCTTGGGTGATGAAAAATTAACTTGAATAGAACCTTCTTCGTACTCTTTGACCAGATATAATGGGATGCAATTTTCCAAAAACCAATATGCAACACTTCCATCTTGCTTCTGTTCTATTTCAATGGCATTCTTCATAACACGGGAAGGAAGATGTTTCTGGCTCCCAAAGGCAACTCCATATGCAATTTTATTTTCCACAACTTTCTTATCACTTATTCTTGCATTTCGAAAAATGGAAGCTTCAGTCTCTTGACCTTTCATATCCTGAAGGGTTTGTTCTGGACGAACAAGATCACTCCATCTCAAATGAAAGTCCAAGTTCCTCAACTAAGACAAATTCAAATTTCCAAGAGTTAGTTGGACCAAACGTTCTTTTTTCTTTTTGGAAAAGAATTAGGGGAAAAATTCAAATTATCTCCGTTATCCAATTAAGATATGAATGAGAGGGTGGAGAATGCAGTAACTAGAATTGGGTAACAAAAACTAACCTGAAGGGCAAGCTGTGATACGTTCTTACTTGCTTCAACAGCAGCTCTCCACACAAGCTGTCTGCTCCTTCTTGGAATCTCAGAACCATCAGTGTAGTGTATACCAGAAATCTTCCTTAAGCCACCTAATGGATAAAAACTTATGGTATCAAATTTACCAGACACATTTTTCCTCAGGTTAGAGAGGAAACAAAAGAAAGTATCTATAAGCTTCATATGCATTAATAAAGAAATGAAGTTGTTTATTCATTACCTTGGCGAGCTGCTTTAGCAACAATACATCGAGGCAATGCTGCTCTCTGGAATACAAGTTTCGAAATCCCTCCTCGAAACCATAAAAAATTGGCATCAGATCGTTCATGAGAAGGATCTTCAGATACAGACTGCTTCCTTCTCCTCCCAGGTCCACGTTTCTGAACTGTTGTACCAAAAGCACCGGGAGCATTTTGAATCATTGAGGTTTCTAAAAACCAATCATCTACCAGCTTAAACCAGTTACTTGAAAGAGCAATAGAGCGAATGTTTTCTTCAAGCTGCAAATAAATTTGAGTTCATAAATAAGAACTATATACTTCAGACTAAAAAAAGGGATTTCTGGAACTGACATTCATCAAAGGATAAGCAAGCAGAACTTATGTCGGTACAAGGGAAAGTGAAATATGTTGCATCTCAGAAAATCTCGTTATACCCTTCCCCCACCCACCCACGTGTGCACAAAAAAAAAAAAAAAAAAAAAAAAAAAAAAAAAAAAAAAAAAAAAAAAAAAAAAAAAAAAAAAAAAAAAAAAAAAAAAAAAAAAAAAAAAAAAAAAAAAAAAAAAAAAAAAAAAAAAAAAAAAAAAAAAAAAAAAAAAAAAAAAAAAAAAAAAAAAAAAAAAAAAAAAAAAAAAAAAAAAAAAAAAAAAAAAAAAAAAAAAAAAAAAAAAAAAAAAAAAAAAAAAAAAAAAAAAAAAAAAAAAAAAAAAAAAAAAAAAAAAAAAAAAAAAACAATAATAATAAACATAGGGAAAAAAAAGGTAGGGGGAAGAAATCAACCTATACCTGACTATTACCCTTAAAAAGGTGAAAACCACTGATATTCAATTCAATGACTATAAAGAGTAAATTGAAATCAGGTCAACCTGCTATACTCGCACATGATACAACTATCTCAAAGTACTACCAGGAACTCAGACTAATAGAACAGCAATCATCAAAGCCAAAAAAAAGTCCACTGATTAAAAAAAATTAATAAACAATGATGTATAGAGGCTTAAGGGGGACAAAGTTTTCTGCTGTCGTGCTGTTGGCACATCCAGGAGGAGCTAATTTACTATTTTTACATACCAAATTAATTATAATTGCACATCTAGCATAAAATAATTGCAAACAGATCTATCAGAAACCACAATAGATGTATGGCGCTCATATGATAGCAAAATTTCATAACCCACAAAAAGGATCACGGTCCATCAACTATCAAAGCCGCTATCCACCTTTCATAAACAGATGATATATGATCTTGGAAACTAGTAGCAAATGGAACTTCCACCAAAAAGTTTCTCCTAGAGGACATTAGCAACAAGGGAAGAAGAACCAGTCTCCTTTATGTGATTCTATTTGGGCCGACCACTGTCCAAAGAAAATTAATTTTTTCTTGTGGGAACAATCAAAGCTGAGGCATCAACACCTACAACATGTTGCAGCACCACCTACCCTCCATGGCCTCATCCCCTCATTGGTGTGTTCTCTGGAAACAAGAAGGAGAATCACAAAGTCATCTACTCTACACATGCCCTTCTGCCTACAGGTTTTGGAGTATCATCTTCTCTTCCTCTAATTGGGTAGTGGCTCTGCCTTTGGATCCCTTATGATCTATTTCTCTTGTACTGGAGGGGCATCCTTTCAAAAAGGGGAAGAGGTTTCTTTTGATGAATATCAACAAGGCCTTCTTTAGGATTGAGAGGAACTAGCGTATATTTGTTGACAAATAACAATCTTTTTATCGCTTTTCTGATCATATTAGTTTTCTAGCTATTTCTTTTTCATTCTTATAGCTTTGCTACACTTTTAGTCAATTAGAGAAGTCTTTCCTTAGGTTGGGGCTTCATACACCAATAAAATTGTTTCTTGAGAGGGATCATGGTAAAACTCAACTTTATTTATTCACAAAAAGGGGTATATCTTTGGAAAATATAAGAGAGTTGTCCCCACCCTGCAGCATCTACTTTCACGACTGACAAAAGCATACCCTCATAAACAATCTTCACTTCTAAAATACAATCTCACACACAACTCCATTTACCTACAGTAACATTAACAACTTCAGCCAAGTAAAAAACCAACCCATGAAAGTAAAATAAATAAATAAATAAGCAGTGTTGACCCCATACCCCACCCCCTAATAAAATTTCCGGTTAGTAAACCAATCCTCCTTCCTCCCCCTACAAACAAACATGCGAAGTAGCTTCATGATAAAAAATAAATAAATAAAACACAAGGATTGCAAGAAACATACTAATCTCTATCTCTCGAATTAAAAACTACCAAAGTGCACACACATATAGTGGCACGTCACTCCCACTAAAAGATGGAAAAAAAAATTAACTACGAGAGTAAAATAGGCTAGGAAACATTACAACTTACTTCAAGCAAGAGAAATTTTATTAAACTGCAACTCAAAGCTGATTCTAATTGATGACGCCATTGTTTTCTATAGCTCGCATTCAAGAATGTACCACCAACAAGACCCCTTAAACTCTCCTCCATATACAGAATGTACACTGCTATGCAAGATAGATTGCCTTCTCCGTTCTTCCCAAGACGAAGGCTTGAAAGGATTTTCATAGCACCTCTGGTAGCAGTCAGTGCAGCATGATTCAACAAACATCCTTTCTTGCTTAACACAGCAGCTCTACATGACAGACACCAACCACACCTCTCCCTTGGTACCTCCATGAGCTTCTTGTCAAATGTTGGCCAGAAGAAGCGTGAGGCTGATAGTGAAAATGCCTTTGCTTGTAATAAAGCATATGCAGAAGTGGAACTACTTCTCTTATTATCAGATGCATGTGTTCCCGAAACCCGAGTTTCTTCTGATGACAAAACATCCAGTTTATGAGCAGCTGATGCAGCAAATTCGCCATGCACATAGTGATTTACATATCCCTGAGGCTTATATTGGGATCCCATGTAAGCACAACGAATAGTTGACTTGATATCATCCTTCACATTTCTTCCACCCAAAAGACTACCATTTTGATTTTGACGAGACAAATTCAATGAAATAGAGGCATTGCCATTCCCAGTATGGCTAAAATTTTTGTTCCCTGAAGTCCTTGAAAGATCTGTTGTACTGGAAATATCAACCATATCTGAGCAAGCTAAGTCAGTTGGATTCTCTAGCCTGCTAATTGAACAATTAGAAGCAAGAGAGTCGACAACAAAACCATTAACTTGATGAGCAGGCGGGTCCCGTGAAGTTTCCCCATGCAAGGTACCCAAGTATGAAACCACCTTATTGTCATCTTCAATTTTGCAAGTAGCTAAGTCTTTTCTATCCTTAACCACATCATGCTTCTCCTTATGTTCTTCCTCACCAACTGGAAGTGATTGAGCATAGAAGTTGGTGTCTTTCCTCAAATTTACAGGAAGTATATCCATTCCACTAGTTTCAGGAAGAACTAGGAGATTTTCTGGGATGTTCCAGTATTGCATAATGGCCTTACAGATGCCATAATATATAGCAATATATTGAGAGGATGAACAAAGAACATGAAGTACATTCAGAATATCATTTTGATTATAATATTTGACACATGGTTCAGAGCTGATCGAAGTCTTGAGCCTGCAATTACCAAATAAATAGAGGTCAGGAAAGATCTGACAACAAAATTAAATAGCATGAAATCAAAAAAAAAACATAAGCAAAAAGCATGAGAGATCCAGAGACAAATTTGAGGGTCAGATGCATAGAGCTTAAAAGAAGCCTAAATAAAATGTTGTAACATACACCACCAAGTGGTTGCAACTACCCAAGAAAATGTGCTCATGTGGATCAATGCCAAAAATTTCTGCTCCTCTGAGTAATGATCCCTTTGTTATAGCTGGCTCTGTCTTATGTATACTGCATTCGGGACAATACCATGGTCCTTGGGGTATAAGTATCTTCATCATGCCTATGCATCTCAAATGGTAAGCTGATGGGCACCCATCACAACAAAGCAAACTCCCGTCCATCCCACAGAGTCGACACTCATCGCTGTTTCTATTTGCATCAACAACAGAGGCATCCAGGTCACCGTTAGTACCACATTTTGTACCCAAAAAATTCTGGTCTGTATAAGACTTCATCCCATGATCCTCTACTATAGCTTCCCCATCCTTGCAAGCTGAAGTTTTGGGGTATCTGGGATGCACCCTTCTAGGTCCATTTTCAGACAGACACGTTGCTCCAGCATCATACTCCAATCCAACTTCAGATATTTCACGCACGTCAATTTCTGCTCTAAGCTCTCCAGATTTTAATACTTCATCACAAAGAATTTGTAGAACCATAAGCTTTCGACCAGCAGGAATGGAGTAATACTCATTACTTAAAGCATGTTTGTAAAATCCATTCCATTCCAGCCCCTTTGCACATCCCATAACAGTTAAATACTGGACCAAATAAACCGGCCAAGTAAGTGAATCTAGCAAGCTCCAGTTGAAGTGCCTGCAGAACATTGTTGTAAAATGAATTAGAATATTCACGATTAAAATTTAATACAAACAATTTCCACATTTTGCAAATTTAATATTCACGATTAAAATTTAAAGAACCTAAGATGTGTGTGAGTGTGTGCGAGTGCAAGCATGCCGCTTAACAGAAAATTAAGAATACAGCAACTCTCACACTTCAGTACTAACATCCTACTGCCAACACTCATTCAAATTAAGTTCATGACCAATAGACTATCAAATCAGAAAACGTGCATGTATTAAGTTCCAACCAACAATAAAGAGGTCAAAGGATTAAGGTTAGGAGCTACTTTATAATACATATCTGACACTGCAAACCATAGGATCCTCATTCAAACCAATTTGAGTCAGTGACCACTAGACCATCAAATCGCTTACAATTGAGAGCCATCAAAGTGTCCCTAGTTTGCAATGAAAAAAATCCCTTATCGCACACCTCTAGATACAAATAAATCAAGGGTCTGAGTGCCATGTTTATAGGAGAGATAAGTCAGTCGCTGGATCTAGCCACAACCCCCCAAAAAAGTAAAAAATAAGCAAGAATAACAGTTGGTGGAGATCTAACGGTAAGTAAAACTATAAATAAAGAAAATCAAATGCACACTCCCATTTACACTCATAACATGTCAAAACTTTGTAGGGTTTCGGAACATGAAGACTGAAGAAGTAACTTCATTCATCATAAATTAGAGAGGAAATTCGAAGTAGCATTTCCAATATCAACAGTCCAAGTAGAAAGACATTATAACGAACCACGATATTCAATATTAACATTCATTAAGAGAAGAAAGGCAGGAAGAAAATACCTCAAGCATTTTGTTGCAATTTCTAGGCCATCTGAAGAAAGAATTTCAAGATGCCCGCGTAAGGCACACATCAAAGCAACATGAATAGAGTCCAATAATGTGTTCGGTACACCACAATTAAGTGATCCCACAAAGTCATCCAAACTAAATGGAAACAGATATAGGCGGAAACTAAATGATCGCAGAAAACCATACACAGATAAAAGATGTGAAACGTGCTGCTCTTGGATCCCAATGGTTCCAGAAGATGGTGGAAGCTGTGGAGGAGGGATAAGTAGACTTTCATCTTCAAATTCAAAATCCCGGTCCAGAACAGATTCAGATGAATCACTGGAAGAATCAACATCAACTTCTACTTCTCCATCGTCATTTTCAATTATATGCTCACTGCTTAACTTACTGGTTACAGATGCTTCAACCGGATCCACTTTTTCAGTGATGTCTGTCGTGTTCTTTCCCGTCACATTTGTATTCTTCGCACTAAACCTAACTGCTAACTCATCCAAACGCTTCTTTCTCTTATTCAAACCATCGTCAAGATAAGGATCGTCAATTAACAACCCCCGAATTTCCCTACTCTCTAAATCCTCATTATCGCCATCCTCGTAAACTACTCTGTATAGTCCTTCCTCGTAATACACAACTTTTCCAAGATACTTTCCACTGCCCTTGAACTCTTTCAGCAGATATCGTCCCAGTAAAGCCACGGGGCGCGACACGAGGGTCCGCTTGCACGATTCCAGAGCCGATTTCGCTTCATCCGTACCATCCTCAAGTTCATTGTTCCTCCTTTTCCTTGGTCTACCCCTCGATCTAACTACCGGAGGTTCCATTGAAGTATCGACACAAAAGAAAACCCGAAACCTAAATCCAGACACTGTTCAGAGCAATATCTAGGGTTTCAAAACTGTCTAACTGAAATATTGCCTTGGAGAGGCATTCAAACCTAGGGACGAAGAAGTCCTGCAAAACATTGAACAAAATCAAAATCAATGAAGGAACAATAAATTCCTTGTGCAGATTCGAGAGAAAAAGATACACGACATTAGCTAAAGTGATGCCTTGTGACCAAGCGATAAAGCACGGAGAGCAAAGTTGCTAGGGTTTCAAAACCGCCATTGATAATGGCTCTGAGACCTCTCAAGAGGAGAGAGATAGAGAGAGAGAGAAAGGGAGGTAAGGAGATCACCCAGAAGGTGTAAATTACACATCTAACCCGCTTTACTTGCAACGAGTTGTCGCGTTTAAACGAGTCATGACTCGAAATTATCAAATTCATAAATTAAATATAAATATATTTTTTAATTTTATATTTTATAGAATGCTCGCTTTTTACCTTTTTGCCATTTATTTTTTTTCAAATTTACTAAACTGCACATAAATATAATAACTGTCCTAATCTTTTTTTATTTTTCCATAAATTTTCATTTAAGAAATATTTTTATAGGGTTTTATTGTTTTTTCTTTGAAATTTAGGTGCCCATCATTCTACAGCGCTGATGAACGCGTTGCCCTCCACACTCCCTTGGCGCTTCTACACAGAGGGCGGAGAGCAGAGCCGTCAATTCCTCGGTGCTGAAGTGCCTCATCAATGGTAAATAGTTCTGTAAAGCTCTCCAAATATGCAGTTTGAATTTATTGTAGATGTTCAATCTCCAAAGATCCTGCGTTGATTAGTGTAGTTATAGAATCTTCTGAGGATTCCCCACTGTATTTTAATGGCGTTGGAAGCTTGAGCCATTTTTTACACTTTGATTTCCATTTGAAGGGTAGTGCCAGGTCCATGAATCTTGATTGATATCCTTACTGATGGATTTTTCTGATAATCTACAAGTTTTGGTTCCCCGTTGACTATCTGGTTTTAGTAGATCAGATCAAGAGGTGGTTCTCAGTTAGAGGGGTGATAGGCTTGAATGTTGAAATCCTTAGCATCTGGCACTCATTTCTCTCTTCATTTCTCTCTTCCGTGGTAGATTTTAATCTACCTTCACACCTTTATAAAGAATACTTTGTTCTTCTCCCCGATCGACATGGAATCTCACAATCCACCCTCTTTTGAGCCAACCTCCTTGTTGGCACTTCACGATTCACCCTTTCGTAGCCCAACGTCTATGCTGGCGCCCAGTGTCCACCCACTCGTTTCTCTCTCCAATTGATATGGGACCTCACAATCCACTTCTTTGAAGCCTAGCCTCCTCCCCAACCGATGTGGGATCTCACGATCCATCTTCTTTGGGGCTAGCGTCCTTGTTGGTACTCGTTCCTCTCTCCAATTGATGTGGGATCTCATGATCCACCCCCCTTCGTAGCCCAGCATCGCAGCTAGCACACCGTCTGGTGTCCACCCACTCGTTTTTCTCTCCAATCAATGTGGGACTTCACAATCCACCACCCCTTCGGGGCCCAGCCTCCTTGCTGGCACTCGTTCCTCTCTCCATTGGATGTGGGATCTCACAATCCACCACCCATTTTGGGGCCCAACGTCCTTGCTTGCACTCGTTCCTCTCTCCAATGGATGTGGGATCTCACGATCCACCCCCTTCGTAGCCTAACGTTCTTGCTGGCACACCATCTGGTGTCTGGTTTTGATACCATTTGTAACAGCCCAAGTCCACCGCTAGTAAATATTGTCTTCTTTGGGTTTTCCCTTTCGGACTTTCCTTCAAGGTTTTTAAAAAATGTGTCTGTTAGGGAAAAGTTCCCACACCCCTATAAATAATGTTTTGTTCTCCTCTCCAACCAATATGGGATAAACCGTTCAACACTTTCAGATATTTCCTTTACTCTTTATGTGTGTTTCCTTTCTTTTTTTTTTCTTGTAATTCTGTTCCGATTAATTTTGACCAATTTATTTTTTTTAATTCTACAAACTATGTTAGGTTTAATTTATTGTTTTGAATTGAATATGTAAGTCCATGACTTTATTTTAATAGTCCGCATCTATGATCAAAACATGCATGACTATGGGCGTTACACTACTATTGCCCTCATCCTTTAGAGAGCTAGTTCTCGCCCCCAAATAATACTCTGCCAAAAAGTTGGATGACTCATTGATTAATTCATTTTTAACCGATGAGTTTGGATAATATATTGGCGGAAGTAGTTTGGATGCCATGAGCGTGAGTTGTCATTAATGGCCCTCATTATATCATAACAAAATTTATTTGGAAGCTTGAAACAACTCATTGCTTTTAAGTAGGGATGATTTCTAGCAACGGTGGAATCTCATACGAATCCTTCCTTATAAAGGTGTAGAAACCTCTTCCTAGCGGACGCGTTTTAAAATCTTAAGGGGAAGTCCTTGAAAGAAAAGTCCAAGGATGACAATATTTGCAGCGGTAGGCTTGGGCGGTTACAAATGGTATCAGAGCCAGACACCAGGCGGTGTGCCAGAAAGAACGCTGGACTCCAAGGGGGGTGGATTGTGAGATCCCATAACGGTTGAAGAAGAGAACAAAGCATTTCTTATAAGAGGGTAGAAACCTTTCCTTACCAAACTCGTTTTAAAACCTTGAGGGAAGCCCTTGAAGGGAAAGTCCAAAGAGAACAATATCTGCTAGCGGTGAGCTTAGATTGTTACAACAACACTGTTTATCGACATCTTTACCGAGTTCTTCTTTTTGTTCTCTACCATGTTTCCACTTCAATTTTGCTGTGTGGTATATGCTTCCATGCTTCCTTCCGCCATACCTTACCAGAATGAAGGGCACAATACCGATTGGAAATTCTGTCAACCATGGTCTCTTCGTCGGATTCTGGTCTTAATTATGCTATTCATTGCCAAATTCCCACTTTTATGTGGCATGATAACTTTGTATAGTCTCAAGGAATTTTGGGTATTGATCCTTTTTCTATTCCCAATTACTTGCTACATTGTTTGTTGCTGCATTTTGTCTAAAAATAGTTACTCTCCCCCATTGACTTTTGCTGCAAAATTTTATTGTCGTTGCCAAGTTCGTTGTTTTTTTATAATTTTTATTGAACTCTAATATATGTATATTTTTGCATGATTGAATTGCTTCTGCGAAAATTACTGTTCCTACTGTTGTCAAGTAGTGCCTGCTGTTTTGGCTGATGTTCATTTTCTTTGTTTGTAAAAACTTAGTTTGGCAAGTAAATGTGTGGGATCTTATATCGGTTGGAGATGGCAACAAAGCATTCCTTATAATAAGGGTGTGGAAACCTCTCCATAGCAAATGCGTTTTAAAACCGTGAGGTTGATGGCAATACATAACGGGTCAAAGTGGACAATATTTGCTAGCGGTGGACTTGGACTGCTACAAATGGCATCATCAGAGCTAGACACCTAGCGGCGTGCTAGCAAGGACGCTGGCCCCCAAGGGATTGAATTGTGAGATCTCATATCAGTTAGAGATGGCAACGAATCATTCTTTATAAGGGTGTGGAAACCTCTCCATAGTAGACACGTTTTAAAATCGTGAGGCTGACGACAATACTTAACGGATTAAAATGGACAATATCTACTAGCGGTTGACTTGGATTGTTACAAAATCTCTGTGATTCTGCTCTGGAAACCTAGAAATCCTGAAACTAAGATGAATATTCAAACTTTTTGTTGCTGTTTTCCTTAAATCTATTCCCATGTTTCTCTGGTTGAAGATGTCAGTCAGGTTGTGGATGTTCTTACAGTTGTCTTCTAGTATCTAGCCCTGTAATTCGAGATGTCTCATAAATTTTGCAAATTTTGTTTTGGTCTCTTACCGATCAAAGAGAGAATATCTACCAGCGGTGGATTTGGACCTTTATAAATGGTATCAAAGTCAGACATGGGACGATGTGCAAGCGGAGAGGTTGAACCCTGAAATGGGTCACGAGGCAGTGTGCCAGCAAAGACGTTTGCCTCCAAAGGGGTGGATTGGAGGATCCCAATCGATTGGGGTAGGAAATGAGTGCCAGCGAGACCGTTGAGTCCGTTGAATTCGAAAGGGGATGGATTATGAAATCTCACATCGGTTGAGGAGGAGAACAGAGCATTCATTATAAGGGTATGGAAACCTCCCTAGCAAACGCATTTTAAAAACGTTGAAAGGAAAGAATTAATATCGTAAGAATAACTTTCTTTTATATACTTTGAACGTCATGATTCTTATTTTTAGTTTTTTTTCTTCATATTCAAGATTGTATCCATTTTTTGGGACGTGATAGACTTGTATCCATATAAGTTTGAGTTAGGGTGGTTGTGTAGTGTACAGGGCAATCCGTCAACCTGATTATGTGACTCGGGATGGTCTTTGCTTCTCTTTTACTTCGTACTTAAATTAGCTACGAGATGGTTTCATCCGTCGAACTTGCTCACGAGCTCCAATTGTCCCAAGAGACACTTTAAAGGGAACTAACTACTAGATGGATAAGTTTTATTTGTCGTTCCCCGTTATACCTAAATAGATAGATCTTTCTCACAGGCTCCAATTATCCCATGAGAAACTTTAACGGGAACTAGCTACTAGATGGTTTCATTCGTTGTTCCCCTTTATACCTAAATCGACAGAACTTGCTCATGAGTTCCAATTATCCCTAGAGAAATTTAAAGGGAACTAATCACTCAATGGTTCCATCCTTCGTTCTTCTTTATATCTAAATCGATAGAACTTTCTCACGGGCTCCAATTATCCCTAGAAAAACTTTAAAGGGAACTAGCCACTAGATGGTTTCATCCGTCGTCCCTTTTATACCTAAATCAATAGAACTTGCTCACGAGCTCCAATTATTTCTAGAGAAACTTTAAAGGGAACTAGCCACTAAATGGTTTCATCCACTTTTTTCCTGTTATACCTAAATCGATAGAACTTGCTCACGAGCCCAATTATTCCAAGAAAAAATTTAAAGGGAACTAGCCCCACTAGATGGTTTCATCCACCGCTACCATTTATACTTAAATCAATAGAACTTACTCACGAGTTCCAGTTACCCCAAGATAAACTTTAAAGGGAACAAGTCATTAGATAGTTTCATCCGTCGTTCTCGTTTATAATGCCGAAATCGATAGAACTCGTTACCAAATGGCACTACAAAGTTTGAGAAATGAAAGGAGGTTTGTCCAATTCCCAAGTCAGTCTAAATGGATTGATATACTAAGAAAATAAACATAATTTTTTTCTAAATTGTAGGTTGGATATGACCAACCTCCTCATATAGAAATAATAAACACATTAAAGGGAATATTACAAGCAACAATTTATATATTGGACTATTTTCCTTC